AACGTATCTATCGACAACTGTGCAGCCCAAGGGGAGGAAAGTGTCCTATTTGGGGACCTCAGAATTGCATCTCTGCTCTTTGCAGATGATGTAGTTCTGTTCTGCTGCATCACACTGTCACCTCCAGCACCCACTGTGAAAGTCAGTTGCTAAGTCTGAAGCAGTCGGGATGAGAGTCAGTACCTCCAAGTCTGAGGCCATGGTTGTCTGCAGGAAAATGGTGGATTGCCCCTTCTGGGTTGGGAGAGTGTCACTGCCCCACATGAAGGAGTTCAAGTATTTCAGGGTTTGTTCATGAATGAGGGTAAAATGGAGCGCAAGATGGACAGGCAGTTTAGTGCGGTGTCAGATGTGATGCAGGCGTTGCATTAGACCGCTGCGCCAGAAATCAGAGTTTTTGATTTACCGGTCCATCTACGTCCCAACCCTCATCTATGGCCACAAGCTTTGGGTAGTGACTGAAAGGATGAGATTGCAGATACAAGCGGCCAAAATGAGTTTCTATCATAGGGTAGCTGAGCGCCGCCTTAGACATAGGGTAAGGAGTTCAAATATCCAGAGGGAGCTTGAAGTACAGCTGCTGCTCCTTCACTTAAAAAGAGGCCAGTTGAGAAGGTTTTGGGCATCTGATCAGGTTTTTTTCTGGGCACGTCCAACTGGTAGCAGGCTTCAGGGCAGATCCAGAACATGCTGGAAGGATTATAAATCTCATATGGCCTGGGAACACCTCAGGGTTACCAAGGAGGAGTCGGAAAGTGTTGCTGGGAAGATGGATGCAACCACGACCCAGCCCCAGATAAGCAGATGGAAATTGACAGACGAATGGATGGATAAATATCTGTAACTGTCATTAAAGCCTTTATGTGAGAATGTTTTACTTGATTATGGCATCTTTCAAGATATTCAACAGGCATCATTTTTTGTTTGGGCACTGTGTGTTACTTTAAGCCAATTCTGCTCAGCACCCCCATGTCAGACATGTGCGAAGGGGGATTACAATGTTCATCAGTGGTTGGCACCAGAGTCTCAAAATTGTACACAAGTAGGCTTTAAGGATTGGTTATAGCTTGCAATAGCCAAAGCCTGCATGTGAGAAGCAATTTGAAGCACTCTCTTTGCCTCCTGCTAGCCATCTGCAGCTGGTTGTATTTCATCTGGTACACACCATGTTAGTTCTGTCACTGTTTATTCCCTATGATGTAAATCAGACTGATTCTTTGCACCTGAAAGCCTCTCTGGACCAGTCAGTGTACAGGCCTCTCTCTTCATCTGTTTGTCTAAACCTGTTGAATCATATCTGAGTGAGCTGTCTTTATCAAACAGAAGCTTCACACATTAACAAACACAAAGTCACAGCCCTTGCTAAGCAGCCAGTCAGTCCTAAGACTCAATAACTCCTAAATGGAGCAAACCCCCAGTACTTTGCTAATGACAACAATCAATACAAACAAGGTGACCTGGGTCATTTAATGGGAAAGAGGTTTTTCAGACTAAACTCCAACAAACTCAGATTCAATACACAGAGACAAAAAGAACAATGGAAACCAAGTGAATAAATAAATAAACAGCATTACACTTCACAGACTTCCCGAGACAAAAGCTGTCGTGACCTTCATCAGCTCCGAAAGTAGCCTCGTCTGCTTCTTCAAGTTGTAGCAGACGATGCAACAAGACCAGGCCCGAAAGCAGCTACTGTCCCCTGAGACTCTGAAGCAGATGAGTCAGAAGAGGAATAAAGGCAGCCTCACATCTTAAACTTTAATATTCAGCCTTGAACATTTATAGTATTTTTCTCTCCACAGTGAAACTGAAAAGCACTTATCAAAGGCTCTGATAGCAGCGTGAAGAATTTGATTTTTTTTTTTCCCAGTGATCTGACATTTGCATATTGCATTTTTCCCATCCCAGCCTTATACAATTTTAAGAGTCTATCTTTTATAAAATGTCAGTCACAGTTAATGCAGACAGCTTTGCACAAACGCTGTCTGGAAGAAGAAGGACTGCTTGTGTTTGTGGTTACTTGCTGTTCAGAGTTCTATCAGAGGACAAAAGGTTAAAAGGTCACAGGTGAGGATGGTACTGCAGAAATAAACCGATTCATATCTCACTGTTTTGACAGCAGGAACCATAAATACTGGATGTATTGTTATACCACAGCTTTGTGATACATTCCTTCACAGATTCAGCTGCTGCACCACATGCATCATAACAGTTATTTTATCCTAGTTGCACAACCAATAGGAAAACCCACTTTGATCTACAATAATTATCCACATGTCATGTGTGCATACGTTTTGGTAATATCATATTTCTTCATTAAGGTTGTTCTCCCGGCAGGAGTTTCACTTCGGTGCTTTCATGTGTCAGGCAGAAACAGCGAGTGGTAGAGTTTGAAATGAATACACATACAGGCATGCATGACTAAATGTTTTATGCATGACACAGATGAATATATAATGTGCATCTGAACATGCAAGAGTGCAAAGAAAAACAGTGTTGTTTACTGTAAATCTTTTTCAAAGCTGCCCGTTGTTCAGATGTGTAGCCTGTCCTGTTTCCAATGCTGTGTCTCAAATCAGATGCTTCTATGAGCCACCACTGTCTGTACTTATGCTATTTTGAGTGCATGAGTGCAATCACACTGCATACTGCATACTGCAATGCACTACAAGTACCTGAAAGTTGCACTCGTAAGTAGGGCTGGGTATCGTTTGGGTTTTTTCTGATACCGGTGCCAAACCGATACTTTTAAAACGGTAACAGTGCTTAAATGGAGCCTCAACAGATACCTCTAAATATGATTTTTTTTATGGAGGTTGAAAAGTGGCACAAATGGGCCACCTTTCAGAAGTGTGAGTATTTTGTATAACAGTTTTAAATTACGATAAAAACAATGTTTTTATTTATTTATTGCTGAGGCAAATTAGAAATACATAGAAATAAATAGGTACAGTATATGAACTCTATTAACAGTTTTAAAATATAATAAAAAACACTTTTTAAATTAACATTACAATAATATTAACTCTATTAAAGTCCAGTCTCTGTAGGCATCCCAAGCTCAGCAAATCGCACCAAAAACATTTGTGTCCAGGCTGTACCAACCAGCCAGCGCGAGACCAGTGGAAGCAAGCACACATACATGAGCGCGGTGACCATGTCTCACAATCTTGCGCAAGCGCACACACATGAATGCGGTGCCCAGTGAGGCAGTTAGAGCTAGAGGCTACAATGAGGCTAAAAACAGAGTTCAAATGAAGTTTTTCCAAACACTTTTTATGTAGGGGCTTCAGGACACTTGGATCACTACGGACAAGCAGTACGGAGATATTTTGTGGTTTCAATAATGTGTTTTTGGACGTTTGAATCTGGGGCGCCGTCAGCCTCCATTAGGTGGAGTTTTGTTGCTACCTCCTCTCCCCTTGGATCTCAGCAAGTGATGTGAGGACTCACCTGAGCCTCCATCGGCATGAGGGTGAGTAGATAATGGGTGAATTTTCATGTTGGAATCACTATCCCTTGAACAGGTGTGTAAATCCAGGGTAACTAGCAGCTATAGCTCATTGAGCTCATTCTTGGGGAGGGGGGAGCTAGCGCCGTTGTGTTTGATAACATTGTTGAATGTAAACAGAAGTGACGCCCTACGCTGCTTAGCGTGCCTTTAAATAATAATATACACTCAACAAATGAACGAATGAATGAATGAATGATTCTGTTACGTGTAACGTCCAATAGAGGGAGACACAGCATTAACAAAAAAGCACCGAAAGGAGGCACTGTAATGTGCGTTTTGTTTTGGCCCGGTACGTATCGGTTGTATAGGTAAGCACCGACTTTCGGTACCCAACCCTACTGATAAGGGTCAAAAAGTTGAGTGTGGAACGTTACTTACCCTCAATAGTCGCCATGTTGCCTATGTAGCGTAAGGGGCGGGACCATAAATCTTTTTAAACTTGTGAAATGTTGGCCGACTGCCACAGTAAACATATAGCATTGTACACATATCCTTGAGTATTTTTCATTACCACTATACTGCTGTCTGATAGAAACCATCAGTTTGTTTATTGTGTTAACTCTATAATAATGTGGTACTGCAAACTATAACAGAAATGCTAATGATATTTTTGACATGACATTTTATCATCAGGCATTGTCGTTACACATGTCTTGGCCATAAACTACAAAAATAATGGACATAGTTACCATGATGCCTTGAGTTCAGCATTTCGGCCATCACCATCTTGGTTTTTTAAAGCAAAAGGCTGACGCCATTAAGGGGCGAGGGCTGGATCTGACTAAGAAGATAAGGAAACTATTGGCAGACAGCCTGTCATTCAAGTGGCCAGCTCTTATATGTAACTTTAAGCCTTAATAAAATGCCAACAGGTGAGTAATATATAAATTGTATCATGAACAGGGAAATGTGCTAGATATAGGAACTGCTTTTTGTACTGTAAACATGTTTATTTCTGCTGTACCGCTGGGCATTTTAACATGGGTGTCTATGGGGATTGACTGGTTTCTCGAGCCAGCCTCAAGTGGACATCTAAGGAAATGCAATTTTTGGCATTTCCGTGTTGATTTCATTTTTCAGCCCTAGAGGGTGCCGCTTGGTTTTGGCATGACCTATATGGTCTGTGGCCTTATGGGCTTGTGGGCTGGTGACATAGCCAGTCAGAATCAGCCACAGACAGTCATAGATATAGAAATGTGCCACGAAAGCATGTTCACTTTTGATACAATAAATAAATAAAGACAGAAGAAAGTCAAGTGATGGCAGATAAGGCAAAATGTTGGTGTTGTATGTTGATTTTGGGCCATAAAAATAAATATGACTTGACCATACACCTCAGGGTATTTACATTTTTATGATGGAGAAAAAGTGCTTTTTAGATCCATGTATATTGTAACACATAAGAGGAGGAACCCAGGAAAATAGCTCAGTATATTTTCACACCTGTGTGTTAGTGTATTTGTGTGTAGCTGTACATGCAACTCACCATCCATGTCTAGTCTCTGCATGATGATGGCCAGCTCAACCTCACTGGGCATGTAGCCCAGAGAGCGCATAGCCATACCCAGCTCCTGTTTGGAAATGAACCCGTTTCCGTCACGATCCAGCACCTTAAACGCCTCCCGGATCTCTGCCAAGACAAACAGGAAATCGACTCAGCATCTATGAACAATGCCCACCCCTCTTGCTTCCAAGTTGCACAAACACAAACACTTATTCATGTCCATTTACAGCACTGTGTATTGGTCTGCCAGACATCCACGTTATTATTTCCTCACACTGTCCTCTGGATTTTTTGGGATTCCTTTCTTTGGCAGTGATACACTTCTCACGACGTTGAATTCATCTTGCATTTAATGAAGTCAGTTGGCATTTCACCCTTCCCCCTCGTTCATCATCATTCGCACAGCTCTCTCTCCCTCCCTCCCTCCCTCCCTGTCTTCCTGTCTGACCCAGCTCTGGTCTGCACATTATGCAATTGGTCTCGCACCGCTGCCTCAAGTTAACAAGATCAATTCCACCCATCGATTCATTTTCTCCACCTGCTGTCACAGCCGCTGTCACCTTTGCTCGCTTACGTACATTCACATTCTCCAAAAGGAACCCTTCAGTGCTGTTCCATTATCCTCTTTGTCTTTTGTTTCCTCATTCATATTTTACAGTATATTCTTCCACCTTTCATTGAGTCAACTCCAGCATCTATAGCGGCATTCAGAGAGTTAGCAGTTTATAGCAGTGAGGTTTGCTTAGGAGCACTTGTCTGTTGTCAGAGTGAAACCTGTAACCTTCAGGATATTGGGCTTTTCCTCCAATCACTAAAAGCTATGCACTGTTGTTAAATATCTCTTCCTCTGATGCTGCTCTATAAATAACCATTCCTTCTCTGTACAGTGAACATGTGTCACAAAATCCCCTCAGTTCTTATTCAGGGTTCACATTTCTGCCCAAAAATATCCATGACTTTTCCAAGCCTTTGAGGTGAATCTTCATGACCATACATTCTCTAAAATGTCTGTGTTTCCATGATAAAGACAAATCAAAGTCCATGTCTCAATGAAAGATATATATAAACAAGCATCGTTAGCTCTCAACAAGGAGATATAGTACAATGCAGCCATACCAGTGAAATAACCACGTAATGTCTTTGCAGATACTGTAACAGTCCTATGATGGTATCAAGACATTTTTTATTGTGATATCACAGAGTTTGATATATTGCTACATCCCTAGCAGTAACATTAATTTATGTCTTAAGTGTGGTGTTTTAAAGAAGCAATGTGTGAGATTTAGGGAGATTTAGTGACATCTAGTGGTGAGGATTACAGATTGCATCCAGCTGAAACTTCTCCCCGTTAGAATTACTTCACTGTTCATTGTTCATGAGGTTTTTACCAGAAGCTGAATTATCCTCAGGGGTCTCTTCTTCACAAAACAACAACAACAACAACAACAAAAAAAAACATAACAACAATTGGACCTGGTGATTTAAACAGGTAAAAAACACTCAATAAAGCAGTTTTACACGTAAAAAGTTTTTCTGATGCTGCCTGTAGTGGAGGGGCTGCTAACTACAGTGGCCGACGCACATGGCCCCTTTAGAGCCAGTGTTTAGTTTGTCAGTTCTGTGCTACTGTGGAAACATAGCGGTGCAACATGGCAGACTTTGCGGATGAAGACCAGCTCCATATGTAGATATAAATGACTCATTCTAAGGTAAGTAAACACAACAGGTCATCATTCACGAGAGAAAGACATACTATTTTTCTTTTTTTTCTAATATATCCCCCTAAATCCTACTGGACCTTTAACAACGTAGCATACATGTTGTGCTGCTGAAGCAACATATTACTCAACTGACTCACTCAGCAGAGACAAAAATGCCTCACTTGTGCATAGTTGAGTCAGCAGCTGGTTCACTAGCTGCTCAACGTGTGATCATGTCATTAGTGGAAGGAGTCGACGGGCTTCGATGTGCTTTAATAAATGCATATTTCATAAATGTGCCTACAGACAGGAGAGGGTGTATGGCAAGAAAGGAGAGAGAAACTGACAGGCATCTGGTGTTTTTAAATAGAGGTGGAATGTCACTCCTCTGAAGAACACTATGACTGCATGACATGCATGAGCACACTGTTGAGCACTGAATAATTTCAGACTGGAAAGTGGAGTAGATGGTTTAACTCCATCCTTCCCAGGAACCATAGAGGCGGTATGTCTTTTCTTTCAAGGGACATATAGAGGACATAAAAGTGTTGGGTCCAACAGCAACAAAAAATAAATTCAATTACATCTGATCCAAGATTTAAAAAATTCAATGCAACAAAATCTTTAACAGTTGGCAAAATTTTTGTTGTTGTGGTCTCATAGGTGCATAAAAACAATGATGAGACAGACAATACCACAGCATTATGTTAAAATGGGAAAATAACCAAGTGGAAATGTATTACTATTGAATGTTTTTGTTGCCAGTGTACAGACACGCTCTTAAAGCATTTTCTGACTGCCTGAACCGAGAAATTGCCAAACTGAACTGAAAACGTCATTAAGAAATGACCTCATCAATCATCTCATTATCTGCTGCACTGCTGCCAGTCTGAACCAGTCTGCTGGCAAATGATTTGGAACAACAAAACCTAAATGAAGTGTTAATTATGAATTGTCTCATAAAAAATGGAGAACAGTGTTTTGACTGTGTTGAGCACCTTCAGTAGATAATAAAGGGTCACAGTCTGCGACCTGCATCAAAACAGCATGTCACTGTTTCCCCGAGCAGCTGCACCTGAGTAAATAAAGCACCATCATCATTTGTAACAACACAAACTCTTGTTTTAGAGATAATATTTTCTGGGATGCACACACAGAGACGCTAACAAACACACATGAAAGGTATACCTATTATCTCCCTGCTATGAAATGAGCATCTCGTGAATAAATCTCTCAGTGACTCAGGCTTGCATTGAGTACCTTCCTGTGTCTGGAGTGTGTTGGAAGAGAATAACAACATGGAGACTAGGTTTATATATCAAAATGACTCAGTCCATTTCATGCACAAATGCTCCCATCCATCAAGACTTATGACACACGGGGAATATTGAGCTGCTTTCCAACTCAAAATCTGACATTTGGAACAGCAATATTTCTACCAGAAGGACAGAAGTAACAAAAGACGTCACAGCAAACTCAAATTTAGACGCTGCAGATTCCAAAAGTGGCCACGATGGTTAATTTTGTATGCAAATTATGTCTCGCAGTGTTAAATGTTTATGAGGGCATGTGTTTAATTTGAGTGTGTCCATGGCTATGTATGCTTGAATGGCTGGTGCCTGTTGATTATGTAATCTGCTCACTGCCACATTCTACTTGACCTTTCGGATACAGCAGTGATGCTTGGCGTCAACAAAGACACAGCTGGCACATTTGCTACAACATTGACTTTAGTAACACAACTGTAACACAAGTGTGAGGAAAAATGAAAACATGATCACATGACAGATGCCCAGCTCTCAAAGGTGCACCCAGTTATACCAAATAGAATCTTCTCTGCATATGGAATCACAAGAGTAATTAGGTCTTCACCAATACGCTAAAGAATGAATCAAAAAATTGTTTTAGCTTAAGTTCAGTTTATTATTTAAGAACCTCATACAGGATTAGGCTGTTAAAAAGAACTGGAAAAAATGAGAATTGTAAAGGATTATTTTTTTGCAGTTACATTAGGAGTTGTCAGTTTTGGTTAAATTTGCTTTCGATAACCCGACACCCATTATCTTGTAACTAAACGGTTAATTTTTAAGGGGGAAAAAAAGCAAAATGAGGTGAAATACAAGAGGCTTTTCCTTTTGGTCCAGTGCTACATTAACTCAATGAGCTTTATCATCACATTTCAAAGCACTATCCATTTAGAGGTGGGGATATTTCATTGTTTTGTGATGTAAATGTCTTGCCTTTATTTCATTTTCTTTTTCTGAACACGTTGAAACATATTACCCACTGCCCACCCACTAGTCTACACCTAGACAGCTAACATAAGCCTTGGCCACTCTGCACTGCACACCATCTGGTTCGGGAGGGGCTACTGTAGCTTGTGGCACTTCTCATTCAGTGATTATGGCTGGTAACCTGGTTCCCCTGCATTCAGGTGATGTCAGAAAGATCAGACTGGGAATTTGAAAAATTCACATGAACGCCCCCTCAAGTTGGAACAACAAGCTGCTGAGTTTACGTCATATATGTAGAAACACTGTGGAAAAAAGTGAATGTTTGATCGATGGTAATAAACTTTATTAGTTAACATGTCAATGTTTGGCTCACATGTACTTTGTAACATGGTATTAGCTTGTAACCTTTAGTTGCTGTCCAGGTAGATTGACCAAGATAGGTTGGATAAGCTATTAATTAGCATTATTCAGGTTTAGCAATATTTAGCAATATTTTAGTGATTTTAGGGAATGTACTACTTTATAATCATTTTGCTTCAAACTGTTAAACATGTGTTGTTAAAATGCTCTGATCAGTAAAATTCAACACTTTGTAGCATCCATGTTGTTTCCACATTACAACTTAACGCTAAACACGCTAAAGCCGGAGGAAACACTTCCCCAACTCGGGAAATGCGACCATCCAAGGAGCATGTGAATGCAGCATTTATCCTGCTGGCAGGATCTCACTGTTGCGGAAACCCTGCGGCCATCCTCCGGTCTTCCTCTGGCAAATAAATGGCTTCATTTTGAGCCGTGATACCCCTTTAGCAATGTCACCTATGTTAGCACCACTAACAGTGCTGACACTGCTAACAGTGCTAACAGAACTCACAGTGCTTACATAGTTAACAATGCTAAAGGAAGTTTGCGGCTCCAAACTGAGCTGTTTACTTACCTAAGCAACCTCGGGGCAGACCCGAGGGTGGGCACAATGTCTCCATAGCAACACCGATGGGCTGGGATGGTGTTACTAGTGTAACTGCTAAATGGGCAGTGCTGCTAACTAGCTCCCAGAGTCGGGTCATGCACAATGCAGTAAACTTAAGAGAAGCAACACTGACCAACAGACTGACACATGTAAACAGTCGAAAATATTCTTAGCAGTTACCCACCGACATCCCATATTATATGTGGACATTACTTGCTATTT